ATACACTCTATCGTTTTTAGTCATTTTTCTTATGTGAAAATTTTAATCGTCATATGTACAATGAATTTAAACAATATGCTGTTGAAGATACTAAAACTGATCATCGGCATATAAATGAATTGTTTTTATGAAAAATAATAAGCAAAAAAATTGAGTATTACTATTTATGTATAGATATGGTGTTGAATGTCTATTTCGATTTTATACATATGGTATAGAAAAACATTTTCAACAAGAAACTCTTTGTGATCATGAAGCTGGTAATAAAATAGATGACACAAAAAAGAAAAGGAAAGTGTCAATAGCAAAAATAATTTTTCTATTTAGGTCAATTATATGGTTTAGAAAAATTCTGGGCATTTTTAAAATATTCTCGACAGAAACCAAAAATCAATCCAAAACTTGAAGAGATTTTAAAAAACTATAAAAATCTTGAAGATTTTCGTGTTGATGATGCATCATTTCCACAACAATTATTTCTAACAAAATCAAATTATAGTAATTGAAAAACATTTTTTTTTTCTATGATATAAATAATTTCTTTATAGACTGTTCCAGCACTCGAAGCAATTGCTGCTGCAGTAGCAAAGAATAGTGGTACATCAAATTCATTAAAACCCAATGGTGAACAATATCTGAACGGTGCTAAATTTTATATACGTTTTGTTTTTCTTTTGTTTTGTCTAAAAAAAAAACGGTGCTCATATTTTTTCAAGTGAATTTCGATTTATTAAAAAGTATACATGTATTTTTTTTCTTGCTTTCAAAGTTTATTGTTATTTAATCTTTTTCTATGTATATATTACATTGGTTTGTTATTGTAGTAGATAGATAGATTAAATAGTGATGCATTTTCTTTTTCTATCGATAGAGATATGAAGAATTTTCATATGGTTTCGTTTTGTTTCTGGAACTATTTGCTAATAAATTCATCTCGTTTATTTAATAGTATTGGTAAGATATTGAGATAATATTTTATTTCGATAGAAGAATTTAGTGTTTTAGGAAGAATTGGTATTGGTTTAGCTATTGTTGGTAGTGTGATTAATTGTATGCTTTATAATGGTAAATATGAAAAGATTAAAAAAAACTTATTTTCTTTAAATATAAATATATTCTAGTTGATGGTCGTCATCGAGATGTTATTTTTGATCGTTTTCAAGGTGTTGAACTAGATGTTATTGAAGAAAGAACTCATTTTATGATTTCATGGCTTCATAGACCAATTATATTTGATATTCGTACACGACCACGATCTGTTCCATCAATAACAGAAATAAAAGGTATAAAAGCTAGAAGAAAACAGTCAACTTCAGAAGAGAGGTGAACATGAGGAAAATGTAAGCTCGCGAAAAAAAGAAGGTAAATACGATGTCTATTGAAACATCAATGAATGTATATGGCTGAGGTATCTTAAAAAATTTTGTGGCCATCGATGGCGACTCAACTGATCGGTTTACACCTCTACACTTTCATCATTCAACAATCTTAGGATACTTCATAAAACTTAAAATCGGAAGTCTCCGTTAGTTTTTCTTCGTATAAATGAAATATGCATAAATTATATTTTATTATTTTTATTTTAGATTTACAAACAATTAATATAACATTACGTATTCTTTATCGACCAAGAGCTGAACTTTTATCAAAAATTTTTTTGCAAATTTAGGTTTAGATGATGAAGAACGTGTTTTACCATCGATTATTAATGAAGTTTTAAAATCTGTTGTAATAAATCTCAGATACTTTGTTTTTGTTATTATGAATAATTAAACTGATTCTTAGTCTCAATTTGATGCTATTGAATTGATTACACAACGTACACTTATTTCTCGACGTATTAGTGAATTATTAATAGAACGTGCTGCTCAATTTGGTTTATTACTTGATGATATTTCGATTGTAAGATACAACAAAAAAGAGTCTCGAGTTGATTATATATAGTTTTTTCCTTTAAATTAGACACATTTAAGTTTTAGACCTGAATTTACAAGTGCTGTTGAATTAAAACAACGATTTTTAGTCGAAAAAGTAAATCAATAAGAATAAAATTTGTATGAGTTTGTTTTTTTTTGATAAAAAAAACAGGCGGAACAAAGTCGTCAAGCAAATGTTATTGCAGCAGAAGGTGATGCTCGTGCAGCTGATTTGATTGGCAAAGCTTTAGATGAAGTTGGTGATGGTAAGTTTTCGAATATCTTTTATTATTTTGTCTTACTTTATTTTAATATTCATGTTAGGTTTGATCGAATTTCGACGAATTGAAGCCGCTGAAGGTATTGCAAATCAATTATCAAAATCAAGAAATATCGTCTATTTATCACACGGTTCTCAAATGTTACGTAACATTACTGGTGCTATGCAATAAAAATATTGTTTTTTGTTTTCATAGTAAACTAACGAGATTGATTTAGGAAAATAAAAAGAACACATAAGAGTTTTTTTTGTATGTGTGTGTGTTTATAAACTATTGAGAATACTAAAGCATTGTATTGTCCTGTTTTTTGTTCGATTAAAGAAAAAGAAGATCAGATCAACAATTCTCTAGATGATATTAAAGATTCGAGTACGATTGAAATGATGAATTTCGATAATCTCTTTCGACGTTTTATATTAACTCAATCATTTGTACGTGGTTGGGGAAATCCATTTCATTTACAAGAAATTTTTACCTATCGACATGAAAAAATTGGTCTAAGAGATGAGTGTTTAGAACTTGTACCAGAGATGTGCGGGGCATTGATTTTCCATCCCCCGCGGGGCCCGCCCCGTAAAATTCACAAACCCGTCCCGTCCGAACCCCGTGGATATTCTTTTTGAGAATCCCCGCCCCGCCTGTGCCCCGGCAAATCTATACCCGCTCCGCCCGTACCCCGCACAGGCAGCTCCTTGGACTGGCCCGCCCGACCCGCCATTTTTGTGACGGGCCCCGACCCGCCCCCGTGTAACCCGCAGAAATTTTTTATTTACCAAATACTTTATTTTTAATGATGCATTCCTTTTATGAATAATCATTTTTTACAAAAACAAAACTCAAGTCTATATGAGATGGTTTTGAATGATTCACTTTGTGATTGTCGACAAGCACGTATTTTTCTGGTTGTTCTTTTAAAAACATTTTTATATTTGACGAATTACATTTAATATTACTCGATGAACAATGACTGAGAGATGAAGAAATAATTGTAGATAAACGATCAGTATTCGACGAAGCTGTTCTATCAAGTGATTCATCAGGAGATAAATCATGTAATTCGATCATACTTAGGTCTGGCCAAAAGTTCTGGCAACATTATATAAAAATATAAAGATAAGTAGGCATCTTTAATTTTATTTTATCAAATATTGAGGACAGTTGCCATGATTATTTATACCAAGTTCGATCCTTTCCAACAATTTGTTAAAAGTTTTTTTCGAAAAAATTTTTAGATATCTTAGATATCGCATGAGCTTATCATATTTCATTTATTTAATCAGTTAAACTACATTTGATAGAATTAGTTAGCGAAAAGTTACATAGTATCAGGCCTGGCGAATATGATAGATATGATATTATATTGATGCCTTCTTCTGTGATGCAATTAATAACATTAGATGAGTATGAAGTCAACGATGACCGTCAAGCAATTTTGAACCTGATGTCTGTGTTTGTTTCCATATTTCATTAATAAAATGTTTTGTAGAGTTTTCAGCATAATACTTGTGGCTTACAGTCTTGCCTTTATCTACATTCAGGGGTATTTGATTTAAAGAATATACCAAACAAAGCATTTTCTAAAATCTTTATTCATGAACCATAGTCTTTGACGATTCATCTTCAATAAGCCAGCCAGCATCGGATAACTTATGACTAACCTATCTAAAATAAATCTATATCTCATCACTAGCAGTACTCGAATGCAACTGATATGATCGAACAAGATTTTGCTAACTTTTTATAATAAATGAAATATGATTAGCTCATGCGGTATCCATGATACCTAAAACTTTTTTCGAAAAAACTTCAAAAAACTTTTAACTAATCGTTGGAAAGGATCAAACTTGGTATAAATAATCATGGCAACTGTCCTCAAAATTTGATAAAATAAAATTAAAGATACCTCCTTATCTTTATATTTTTATATAATGTTGTCAGAACTTTTGGTCAGACCTAAGTAGTAATTCACAAAAAAATTCAAACGATAATTCTAAATATAAAATAAGTTTTAGTCCAGTTATTCACTTAATATAAATTGATAGTAGAAGTTGCGTATGACAGACGATAAAGAAAGAAACAAACAAATGGTAGACAATCTTGTACATGATAGGATGAAAGTAATGAACCAATCAATATGTACTTTGTACTACATACCTATACTAAGGACATCCCGTAATAAGTTTTCACGATCTTTCATCACACCCGAAAAAAAATGTTTACCCGCCCGAACCCGTGTATTTCATACCCGCTCCGCCCGAGACCCGTGTCATTTAAAAAAACTATTCCCCGCCCCGCCCGCCCGTGTGCCGGAAAATACCCGTGCCCCGTTAATCCCGCGTTTAATTAAATTTTTCTTCCCCGCCCGCCCGTCGCCACGTGGCCCCGCGGGGCCCGCGGGGTGAACCCCGTGGACCGCACATCTCTGACTTGTACCAGCTGAAGATGTACAGGAAAATACTGTTGAAATAATTAAATAAGAAACAAAAAGGTAATCAGAATTATCTAAATGTTCGATTTCGTTTACCACTTGCCAATTATTTACCACATTTGGTAAGTAATTAAAATTATTTTAATCATTTAATTAATATTATCTTTTTTCTTTTGTTATATTTATTTAAATAGGTTTCATCTCAAGTAGCTACAGCTCATTTTCAACATGTTCTATCACGTGATCATCGTTTTGGTATTGATTCAATCCCAATAGGAATTTGTTATGCTGGAACAGGTGATCATGGTTTTAGTCGACGAAGGTTATTTACTGCAGTTCCATTAATTAATCAATATCCTATAGGTTCAATTCTTCTTGAAAATCCATATTATGGTTTAAGAAAACCACCAGATCAATCTCGTTCATCATTATTGTATGTTACCGATTTATATATCGTGGGTGAAGTACTTGTTTTAGAAACACTTATGCTACTTCATTAGTGCCAAAAAATAAAATTAACATCAGCTATTCTACATGGTTTTTCTCTTGGTGGACATATGGCTTCATTAGCATTTACAAAGTAAGATTCAATTCTATTATTTGATCTATTTAATGAATGGATATACAGTATCTATCATAATTTCAAATAATGATTCAAGTAGAGGAAACCATATTACAAAAAAGAATATAAATTAAAAACATTGATTATTTGATTCCCTAAGTTAGGAGTTTTTTAGACAATCCAAAAGCCTAATTTCTCAGTATCTAGTACTTGAACTCTCTAGGACGGTTTTTTATTGAGTAAAAGTTGAATAATTTTGGTAGCCATTGTGTATATATTTATATTTTAGATGGTCTGATCCACCTTCTCGACAATTCTATAAAAATAAAGCCTCTCAAACATTTTATGATTATTTATGTGAACGAAATCGATCAATAGATTCAAATAAAATTGTTCTCAATCTTATTAAAGATATGATGCATCTTCTTATGGATGAATTTACATCTTTATATAATTATTCATGTTCAGTTCAATCAAATATATCTAATGCTATGTTTATTGCTTGTACACATGATGGTTATGTATTACGTGATGGTATTCCACATATGAATGATGTATGGCCTGGTATTCATATTCGATATATTCCTCATGGACATGTTAGCGCATTTTTATTTAATCAATCAGGTTTTCATCATGCTGCTGCTGAAATGTTACAACGACAAGAACCAAATGTAAAACTAAAAAAACATCTAATCGTGTCACCAATTTCTGTCACTACACCTAAAAATTCGTGAAGATATATATTTTTTTCATATAGATATTTTCTCGAAAAGTATCAAATATTTCCTAGTTTTTGTGTTATGATTTGAATAATAACTTAGAGAAAAGAAAACTTTTGATCGAATATAAACTAGATAATATATTAATCGTGTTGTTTTTTAAATATAATTTGTATGACTCTAGTAAAAACATGAGCAAACATTTTTTTTGTCCTATTTATCAGCAAATAGATATTGAGAGAACTTCTCCAACTGATATCCTCTGTTCGAGCTCATAAGTAGGACTCATAGTCATGATGAAAACATTAAACATGTTCGTGCTCTTAAGCCTTTCATGATTATTCTATTAAATTTTCAGCATATTGCAGGATATTAGCAAAAAAAAACTGTAATAACGAGTCTCCATTTGAAACTTTCTCCCAATAACAGATCTCATAACAATTATTACATTCTAAAAGTTTTAGCTCAAACGAATGGATCCAAGTCAATCAATCAGACAGTGAGATCAATCACAGATTCTTGCACCTTCATACAAGATCGTACAATTTGATTTCACTATATTGTTTGAATCCTTTACAATAACCCATACAGGTCAGAGTTCTCTTCTTTATAAATTACCATACCATCCATACGCATACATAGCCAACATTTAAATTTCAGGTCGCATAACTGGATAGAGATTTATCTATATACCGTTATTCAGAATTGGAACTAGTCTTTATCAGTTCTCTTTCTTTTCGCAGATGTGAACGAGAAGGAAAAGAACAGCGTGTGCACTTATATGATCATATCCTTAATATCAAATAAAACTTAGTTATTACTTGAAAAAGAAAATGCATAATGCAAAATAGTTTGTGTTAACAACAGAAGAATTACTTGAATTTTGTATTATAAAAATAACTTTATAAAAAAAAAAGAACTATTCTTTTGCTTTATTCATACCTGAGCATTTTAGATATTCACTCCAAAATATTGTGTAATGAATATGAACACACAATAAATAAATTTTATTTTGTATTTTCATATAATTTTGAAATTATTTATAGAAGATCAATGAAGAAATGTATTTCTATATAAAACATACTCTATTGGTATTTAATGTTGAGAAGAAACTAAAAATAAACAGGGCGAAAAAGAAAATATTAGTTTTTTTTACGATTGCATTCTAATGTTGATTATTTCAAATAATGAAGATAGATATTTTTTATTTCTACTTCATAGTTTACATTCTTGTTAAGATATAAATAGACAATATTGACATAATTTGTAGCTAGAAGACGATAAAACTTGTCTATCATTGAATCTCTGTTTATTTGCTTGATATCACAAACAGATTGGCAAAAAAAACAGGTTTTATCAAGTCTAAAATGCTGATATTATATACTGGGTGTGGGTCTGGGTGTACGTGTGAATATACTCTTCATCCACACCCCACACACGTACTCACACCCTTTTCAAACAAGTGTACCAGAAAATACTCAATTTTGAGTATAACAACTTGATTGTACAACAGATCAAACTGTTATTATGGAATTGGGAAATGTAGCATTTTGATTGTACTCAAAATTCTTCTTTCATCTATTGAAGATTTAGCTAAAACAGGTATTATTGATATCGTAGTACTGATACATTTCGTCAAAGTCGAATACGACATATGATATTTGTTGGTCGACGTAGACTAATTCAAATATTGTCATTTACTATAAAAGAATTTCGTGAACTTACTAAATTAACTAGTTTACAATCAATGTTAAACAAAGAAGATTTTAATTGAATTGATCAAAATATATTTGATAAATTGAAAGTGTTCATTTCGAACATATAGAGCCTGTAGTTAGTTGTGATTTTTCCGACCATCTTGTCATTAAAACTATAGATTATTATGACATTCAAGTACGAATGAAGAGAATCTTGTTTTTTACCCCGTTGAGTTTGAAAATTCAATTATTTAATAATTGGAAATGCAGTAGAGTGGAATGGATTATCTCTATAAGAGTCTAGACATGGTACTGCTCATGTCTAGAGTAGTCATCATGGATGAGTGACTATGAATGTCAACATGTATGTGAGAGCTAGAAGGTTCGAATCTAGACATCATTCTCCTCTATACTATGTAGTTTTGGATAAATTATTGAAGACTAGGATCAATTGACCATAGACTGACCAATATTCGAGAAGTTTGACGAAAAAAAAACCAATCATAACTTGGTAAAGAAATTCTAATCATATGTAAATTGACAATTTTCTTTCATTCTTAAAATCTTTCTAATTGGCATGAAACAAATGTTCAAATCTTCTAATTGGTAGTGTGCTATGACAAATTTGACATTTTGGATCAATGTGTTCAACATCATTAATTAATTTTTCACACTTATCATGCTGATCACTACGAACGTCATCAAATTTGTATGCTGCATCTGGACATGTACCAGCTATATAACGATCTGTCAGAAAACTTCAAATACATGAATGTATAAAGAATTAGAAAAAAAAATATGCAAACAAGTTCTGTACCGTTGACAAGTATCACAATATAATTGTTCAACGTTATTAGTGAAGCCATCTATAAATTTTTTTATATAAATCAAAATATTTATCACAAGACGAGTAAGTTTATAGCAGCTATATCTTAAAAACACATTTGTGTAGCTAAAAGCCTTCTTCATCAGGATTAGTAGGCGCGACGGTCTCAA